TTAAAACTTTTCATTGAATAATTATCTAAGAAAAAGGTTTCAAAATTTGATCATAAAGTGTTTACAAAATTTTTAATAACTCTGTCATTTTGTAATATTTTTTCTATCTAAAAATTGGAATATAAAAATGAAAATTATATAAAAAGATGAAATTAGTGTACCTTTCTAAATCAACATAAAACTGCAACAAATTTACCAGTGACAAACAAAAAACCATTTATTGTTTTCCAAGATTCGCTGTATATAAATATTGTTAACAAAGTTCGGATGTTCGTTGAAGCCAAAGCGGAAGTGAATATCTTGGCGGTGAATAAGGCCACCGGTTTAATCTCTGGAGAGCTACTTAGGAAGGAAGTTTGTTCGATCGGCGGTCTTTCTTGTGGAACCTTGCCCTTACCCTTTCCAACCTTACCGGTTCCGTGACGAACAGCTCTAATTATCAGTTGGTCGGATGTGGCCGGCAACCGTGGCGGAAATTCCCTCGCAAATCCTTCTATTCTTGTTACAGCTGCTCCTCATTTTTCCTACAACTTTCCAACAGAAACACGTAAACGGTTTCGTACACAGTTTGACACGAAATCTTGCTACGTTTTCCGGCTTCTGTTCTCTCGCCGGACAACGTCTTTTACCTTCTATCTCGTGGAACGTTTGAGAAATGAACGTGCATCTAGCGTGTACAAAAAGCACCGTACGTTCTTGCTTTGATAATCCTGAGATTATCGGCTTAGTAGAGAAAACGCTGCAGCAAGGAACTGAAACTCGGCATCCTGTTTCTTTTTCTGGGAAAGACTTAAAATCTGAATTATTTCCTTCGAGGGTTTTGTAAATTGATTTCATCTAATTTGATAAATTTCAGTATTTATCAAATGGAATGATATGAGTTTTGTTTGGAAAAACTCTGTATACCTGTGAACAAATAGAAACTGTGATAATTTTAAAAAGTAAAACATTGTAAATATGTTTTTTGAAATATTTCACTTGTTTAGCTTCAAAAATTCAATCTGCGGGAATAATTATTTTTTAATTTTGTCATGACCAGTGATAAAATCACTGTCCAAACGAGATAACAAAGAGGCTGCTCCAATATTGATAAATGTACAGGATTTTATGAAAATTTGTACGAATCTATGTTCGATATATCCATATACATGAACCCAGTAGAGGATTTAATTGAATCGTGCCACCAAATATGAAAGTTAATGAAAAATGTTCCCGCAGTGAATGTGATAATGGATAAAAGCGTGGACAAATTGGAACATTGAAATGGAAATTTGGTAGCTTTTCGATGAAACGTGATTTAACTAGAAAAAAAAAGCATTGTGCCTTTTGTAAGCACTGTAATGTTATTATGTAAACTGCGCGAAGCAGGGGGTATCGCTCTGATAGCAAGTTCAATATCTTAGGTGTGTTTGTGTTTACGTTTTCCAAAATGGCATCAAACGTCATTGTCGGAGAGGAGGGAAAATAATATTTAGCAGTAAGGTCAGTGCAGAAAGAGTCGTTGCGAAGTGTAAACGTATCGAGAGAGCTCGTGGTATCCTGTTTATTTTATAATTAAATATTGTTTTATACGTGTTCAATACTCTTTCACCTACAATTACTTGTGAGATGACATAATGTTTGCCGAGTACTTAGAAGTTCCTGTAGATCTTCGAAACTGTAGTGGTAGAAGTATCGAATCCCTTTAACTACTTCACAAATTCTACTGTCTTAGCTTATAGGCAACAGCATAACTCTTGGGATGTTGGAGAACATAAATATTTAAGCACTTTGATCGTATACACCACCTGAAGTGTCCGGGTAGAAACTTTAAGTTGGCTTCATAGCTTATACTTCAGGTTCATGACTTTGTCAAGTGTATTATGGTATTATAATAACAAGTTTGCTTATGGATTTTGGTGTTTCTTGTCAATTTTCCATGATCGTATCAGGAATTTATATCGTTCAGAAGATTGGTAAATATATTCTTGTTAATAGTTGAAATACGTGATTCTTATTGATAAGTTAATTAGTCATTTGAATTATCAATATTTGGCACTTTAAGGGGGTCAATAGAAATTGCTATCTGATAGAATTATTTATTTATTAATTCTTCGACGAAAATCTGTTGTATTAGAGTGCATCATTTAATATAAAAATAATAATCGATGCAAAGTAAAATAAAATTTCCTAAACTATTGTATTTTGAAACACCAAAATATTAAAAGTGATATTACATTTCTAACAAATTTAACATAACTTCTTCCATATTTGGGCAAGAAGTTAAATACCATTCCAACTTCGTTCTATTTCCTTCCTGTAGGAATCAATCTTCCTCGTTCCAGGGCTGTTCTTCGGTTTCAGCTTTTCTATATTTAAACGTTCCTTCCCGGAGTTCATAATGCAACGTTAGCCCGGAAGTAAAATTGGAAGCGGCACCGATATCTACCTATCGATCGGCCCCGAAATCGAAATGCATCCTGTTTGCCTTCGCGGCACGCGATCTCCTCTTTTATCCCCGTCTCGGATCAAGGCTTCGCCTCGGTAGAGGACGAGAAGAGCCAGGTCTCGATGAAAAGGGCCAGGGAATATATTTTTAAATCCGGCTAACCGTGAAACGAGCTACGTGCAAGTAGCCAGTCTTACGTCTGTTCAGGCGTGAACCATGATCGATGGATCCTCGAAGGATCCTCCGAGGTGTTGTTCCGCTTCGAGTGCATTCGTCCACCTTAGAATGTATACGTGAGCTTCCAGAGCAACTGGGGATCCTTTTCGAGGACCTGCACACGATGTTTTTCCTTTGGGAAAAATAGAAACTTTCACGCTATCCGTTCAAGGATTTTCCGGGATAGCCGGGGAAAAAGAAAGGGATAAGCCATGACGAGAAATGCAGGCTACGTTGGACGACTCGTCCATTCTTTGGATCTGATCTGATCATTTACGAAATAAGCTTCAAAGAACTATGATAATTATACCGAATTTTAAGCAAAGAAATTTTAATAATACGGCTAATAGAAATTTGAAAATCATTTATCTACCATTGATACGATAAGGATGATATATCTGCTTAAAATATGATAAATAGCTCGTCGAAATAATTTTGATAATTCTAAGGAATATTTCAACGAACGGAATAGTTTTGAAACGAATTCGCTGTTGGCGGATTTAAATGCCGCAGATTCAACTAAAATGCTGAACCGTTCAGTCAGACGATAGCAGCGGAAACGGAAGCAAGATATATTCCATGTAATAGTTGGAACAGGACGACCAGTATACACTATGAAATATTTCTTTGAGGATTTCGAAGCTCGCCGAGTATACGGCGAGGGGAAACGTTTCGTTTGCCACGCGGATCCAGAGCGTGGCAGGTTACGCGGCTCTTGCACAGTATTCAAGAGCTTTGCGCCAGTTTCCATGAATATGATCCGGCGCGAAGCATAAGAGGAAAGTTCCGTTCGTGCGACGACGGCTCTTTATCCGCGAAATTAACGAGATTCCAGCCAGCGCCGGTTACGGATACGAAAAGGTTGCCTTTCAACCCCGCTGGAAATTTTGTGAACGATACTCTAGAGGTGAACGCTAGAAAATTGTTATCGGTGTTGCATAATCGGAAGTGCAGTGTTGCATTCTTCGGTTAAACCGCCTTAAATTCCAATCCATTCGAACCTCTACGAAATTAAATTTCAGGTAAAATTGGGACGGATGATTCATTTTCTAAAATTAGAATTATTTGTAAAATTAATAAAATCAATTAGCAATGTGTTAATTTAGAAATTAAACTTTACATAACAAAGAAAATATATTATAAGTTAACTAAAAATATCGTGCTGCAAAATGGTGGTTTTTTATTACACTCCATCACACCAATGAATTAATCACATAATCTACTAATTAGTAAATTTACCCACTTCTAAAGCGTCTATTATAGTACTTCAGTGATTATAGGAACATTATCGTCACCTCAGTTGGCAAATACAATAGAAGGATTCCGGAGAATTTGCATCGAGTTAATTCCCTTTCCACGATATCATTCAGAGCCATATTTCTCAGATCCTTAGAATGATAAAATACCAAAATTATACGATTATCAAAATTTCATTTTTTTTTTTTTCAAATTAAAATCAAGATCGAACGTTAAGGAAACGATATCGGTCAAGTCAGAATTGTTGGACAAGTATTTCAAAGTTTCGAGTGGACTTATCGAGTGCTAGTCCTATCGACTTTGACGAGGGTCGAAGCGTTCGAATCACGCTTTCTCGGTGCAATCGAGCGAGGAGCAGCTCGTTAATTAGTTTAAACGATCGAACTTGCGAACGGTCCGTGTCTAAGACGTTGGCACTTTCCGCTTCGGTCGTCGTAGACGCGGCTCGAAGGCACGTTTATGCGGGACAACAGGAGAGCAAGACAGCGGATGACAGGTTGGCACAGGCTTTACATTAATGAGCGGCCAATCGGGACCGGTAATTGGCCGACAGCACGGGATCTCATCGAACAGGGTCGCTTTTGATTCCTGAACACCCTGTCGCCAGCTGAATCTTGCCAATGACATGAAAGCATTAGGACGATCAATTACTCCAAGGGACTAGCGATTGCTGTTTCGTTAAACAGTCTGTCGATCATTCGAATCAGAATCGATCGTATCATTTTTCTGGGGAATTTTAAGGAAATTTCTGGTAGCCTAAAAGTGTTGTCTTCGTGAGATCTAACTTCTCTAGGGAAGATTTAATAAAAAATTCTTTGTTTTTTTTTTTAATAGAAATAATAAGATAATAAGAATTCTTTGAATTCATTGTTCAGATTACATGAGAAGTCTAGGATAATTTCATGACAGAAAAGTATGATATACCAAATTGAAGCTTGATATTTAATAAAAGAAACTATATTAATGTTTTATTAAAGTATGAAATTAAATAAACAAAAATGGAGTTTTTTGAGAAATTGTACTTAGCAATTAAAATTTTAGGAATATGTGCTATACCAGTAATGAATTCCATTATACTAATTTAGGGTTTTGTTTTCAGGTGAAAATGGGAAGGTGTCGTGTGGGTTTTGTCGTGTGGTTGGTCCTTACCTGCTTCACCAGCGACGCACTCCAGCAATACAGAGAAAAAAACATAAGTAAGTGATAGCATTTCCATGTTACATTCCAGCTAACAAGAAGCAAATTTTAACATTTGAATTTCAAATTAATCAAAATGAATTTTAACCTTATTTCTATTCAAATTTGTAAGAGGTATATTTTCTTCAATTTCATACACTAAATAATTAAAAAAATAATATTTCAAGACAAGCTTTCAAATTCTGGAATAACTAATTATATATTTAAGTTTCTAAAAAATAAAACTGGGCGGCTGTAGGAATATTAGAAACAATTTTAAATAGATTTAAGGTATAAGTAGGAGAATACAAAAACATTACAATCAGAAAATTTAACATTATTTGGTGAAGATCCGTTTTTTCACAAAGCGGTTTTCTTCGAGCATCTTCAATTCTGCTCACAAGCAGTTCCTCATCAGAGATGATGCAGAGTTCCAACATTTTCTACTACTCGGTCGATGAAACGGTCTTCCACGGGATTAAATCCCAGGAGAGGACAAGAAGTTAATTAGAACCACGTGTCTTTTCACCAATAAGAGTTACAACGTTCAATGTTCTCTCGGTGTCATGTATTCGTTGAAAGCAACTTCTTGTCATTACTAAAAGTTAGATTAGATCGCGAAATTCGATCCAGCACCTTTATAAATCTTTCACTAGAGATCGAATTAAATCAATGAAATTTAACTGCAGATAGAAAATATAAATTTCCGCATTTTTCAGCTTTACTTTCATCTTAATGAAAGTAAAAATGAAAACATTTTGTTGAAGCTAATATTTTACTCGTTATTTTTTATTAGAAAATTATATACCTATTGAATATATTTAAACATTTGATTGAAACTTCAATGAAATCGTACGAAGCTAGAAACACACAGGGGAGACATTGTTAGGGAAAATAAATGTTCCCTGATTTCTGGTTTTGTAGCCTGATTCGTACTAATTTTCTAAATTAGCCCGTCGACGCTCATTGTACTCTCTCTCAATTACGTTCGTTCCTCTGTGTCCAAATTCTTGTGCACACTTCTTGCACTGGGATCTTCCTTCCTTCGATCTATCTCTTATTTAAATACCCTTAGAATTCTCTTAATTTCTTTTTCTCTTCTCTAATTAGTTAATTACTTTGCTAATGAGTATGTATTTCCTATGACACACCATATCTTGATAAAACAGAAGAAAAGAAGGGTAACTTCTTTATTGAAAAAATATTTGAATACAGTTTTGAAATTTTTTCTCAAAATCCTTTTGTCCAAACACTATTCAGTGACAGTCGAATCAAAGTCTGCCATTTGATGGTTAATAGGAGTCTTCCTTTCAGAGATTTTTTTTCTATCATTCTATTTAGGTGTAAATGAATTTACCGTCTCGATTACGAAAATTTCGACATGAAATTTTCGTGAATCGATAGACGGCGATAAGAGCGTGCATATACAGCCGCGCGCATATGGGACGTACACGTACGAGATTCTCTATCCGCTCGATAAACTCGACGCATCGAAATTGAGGGGCTTTGGAATTTACCCAGCAGGACTCAAAAGCTCGACGAATACCCTCTGATATTGGGAGCAGATTGGAAGCCAAGAATCTACCTCAAGATTGAAAAGTTCACTCTCGATTCTTGTGCAACCTTTACCGCAAGAACAAGACGTTCTACGATAGCGATGAGACTAAATAGCGTTCTATGGTTTCTTTTCATAACAATGTGCCGATGATTGCAATTTGATAAGAGTCCATTACTTATATTCTAAGAGATTCTTTAATTAGAAAAACTTGTATTAAGAATTCGAAATGACGAATAATAGAAATGTTGAAATATTTTGAAAATAATAGATAAGATTCTTCGATAAAGTAATGAATTAATATCTAAAAATATGAGCAATCGCTAAAGAAATATTCTTCTTTTAGAACGCTTTGCGAGTTCAAACGGAGCGAAACTGGCAATCGTATTTTTATATAAATCCTCGGTATTCTAGCGGAGAAAAGGTTGGGTTGAAAGTGAAGCGACAAACGTTCTCGAAGAAAATGCTTCCTTTGCTGGCAAATATTTTCCCGATCAGAAACGGAACAAATGCGATTCGATCTCGAAAAAGAGCCATCTCTCCTTTCTGATATGTCTCGGGAGTTCATTATTCGTACAACAGGCAATCAGCAATGGAACAGTAGTAATTAAGGCGGAATCGAAGCGGAGCTTTCGCTAAAGCAACGACTAAACTCGTCTCAGGAAAATTGCCTTTTAATTGATATTCTGCAGATGGGAATTGAAATCGCTGTTTCTAATTGAGATCCAGCCGGCAGTTTAATGGGAATCCTGTACTTTCATTGGACGAACGCGCAAGAATGATTCAACAACAGTTTGGAATATTGATCTATTTATTTACAAAGGCTCGAGTGTAATCCTTCCATTGAAATGAAAATCCCCCACGTACTCGAAATGCTCGGATATCTTTTGTGTTAACCTCCTATGGCTTTTAATGGAATAATCCTATTACCTTCGATGTCTAACTCTATGGTAATTTCAGGAATATAAAATAACTTTGCCGTAATTGGTTTTCTTTAATAAAATATTCGATAATTAAACTATTCTTTTCAAAGTCATACAAATACACTGGTATTAAGGATTTTTGAAAAATTAGTATTTTCTACTTTAAATTAGTCTCCATTAATTAAAAAAAAAAAATTATGTATAGAACATGAAATTTATTTTTTTCCCAAAGTATTCTAATAATTGGGATGGTTTAACCCTTTAATTATTAGAGATGGAATTGGCCCATCTTTGGTCCATAAACAACCAATGTTTGAAAGGAATAATTTAGGAATTCCTTTTATCAATTTGCAATAAGAAGGCATCGAGTCACAAAAGGATACTTATGAATATTTATGAGCTGTTAAAAGCTTGAAATTTGTTTCTATTCAACCTGCCTCGCCTCTGAAAGGGCCAGGATCACGCACTTTCGTGAAATTAAATACCCAAGGAAGATTTAGACCGTCGTTTCAACTCGCAGTCAGCACGCATGTATATCTGTCAAGCTTCGAGATGGTGAAATCCTGTAAACGTTCCATAAACGAGTTTCATCGGGACCTGGCGCCGTCGCAAACGATTCTCTGGTCTCAGCCTCCTTTAAATTAAACAAGAAACTCTTCACGGTGTTAATCGGAATTTTAATGGCATCCGCAGGAAGTTTCCAGTTATCATACGATCACGATTACGACGGAAACTTACTAGTGAATCTATTTTCATTCAATTTATTGGATTATCACTTTTCCACCATAAGTCTTTAAGTCTATTAGTAACTTTGTATCAATACGATTATATCGGCGTTAAAAATATCTTTGAAGACGTAGAACTCGATAAAAATTTACCTTGAACCCGTCAAATTCGACGCGAATGTCCTCGAAGTAAAATCGGATGTAGACGTCTTTAGAGTCTTGCATTTTCAATTTCGTACCACTGGATACAGATATCCTTGGATCCGTAAGATCCGATAAAAATGTTCTCCAAGTTATAGAATCTGGAATAGACATTTTCGAAATTGCAAAAGTAAGATATGTACATATATTTATATTTTAACCTTCATAGAAATATTCTTGGAGATTTAATGAGAAGTCGGTGTAGAAAATAGTGGTTCTACTTGAATCCTTCAGAATCTTGTGTCTCGTCTGGAAACCATGGAATCTACTCAGAGATTGTTTGCTAAATTCCCTAGATGTTCAGAAGCATCAGAACCACCGGGATTCTAGGAATTTTCTAAGCCTATGAGATCTGTTGAATCCTCCAGATTGTCTGGATTCTTTGGACACCCAGAATCCTAGAAATATGGGGTCATTCGAAACCTCCAAGATATTTGGATACCTTGCATTAGTATTCCATAAAATCATAAAATTTTTTAGAAATAATTATTCATTTTGAAACAATTTTATTTGTCAAATTGTGTCAGTGTTTTGATATGCAACAACGTAAAAAAGAGCATTATGGTGTAAGAATTTTCAATTTCTAGAAATTTGTTCTGAACTCCATTCGAATGGTCGATTCAACACGTTTCAGGCAGCAAAGGAAAAGGGAATCGAGGTTGTCGATCGAGGGAAGAATATCTGAATAACGATTTTTCTTTGGTAATTTATGCGCATACAAAAGTAAACGAATCGATCGTGGAAATTGTAACATCTGCCTCGTGCCAGGAAGCTTTGTGTACATCGCTTAATTGGTAATTAGCCGGTGTATTTAACGTGAGCAACGGCGGGACAATTGGTCCCCGTATTCTCTTTCCAAATTCGTTTAACAAACGAATCGCAAACGCAATGATTACCGAACCTGCCCCTGATTGCGATTTTATTGGGCCATCCGGCACATGTCGATTAAGCTTTTTGTTGGAATAAAAATTAGTCAGTTCTGCATTCTCATCGTCCCAATCTACCGACCCTATCGCCACCAATGTAAACCCTCCCTTCTGTTTGATTGCGAATGGAAATCGAGAATTGAAAATTTATTGCCACCTGAGGCTTGTTTCGAATTAACTCTGTTTGCTGTCAATGATTTGTATTGAACATTTTCATTGATTGTTTTCGGAAGTTCATTTTATATCATTCAAATAGTTGATTAAAAAAATACGTAAGATCTCAATACTTTATTTTTCATTGTACGTAATATTTTATTCTCTTGCATTAAAAGTTCATTAATTGAACCATTAAGAGATAAAGTCAGAAGAAGAATTGTAACAGCCATAAATCAAAAGGTGTTCAAAAAGAGATGGTACGCGGAGTAATTATGTTGCAAAATTGCATTCGTGACTTCGTTCAGATAAGATTTCCCTCCAGATTGGATCCATTCTGGCGCTTACGGTGGTCCACCATGGGGGATTCGAATCTATTCCGAGATATGATTTACGTTACGCCACCACGAACACACCGATCTGCCCTCCCTTCTCGCCTTGTTCTCGTTCGAACGAAAAAAAAAAAGAAGGAAAAAAATGGCCCTGGGTGCCATTGTCTGTCCGATGCATCACGCCGCATTGTATGCAAATACGAAC